TCCCTAATTAATCCCATATTTGATAATCCAATGCCAAATTAGATTATGTATTTATTATTATTTATTTAATAATATATTATCACATACATTCACAATTATATATTACTATAAGTATTTATGTGGTATTTAATTAAACGTTCAGGGTGTCACACTACATGAAATTAGTGATTTAGAGACTAATATCTAGAGAGATTAATTGAATTTAGTCTTTAAAAGCCATCATTTAAGGACAAAAATAAATTTTAAGAGAAAATTATACAAATACTATATTCCTTTATGATGGGTCAAAAAAAATTATTTAAAAACTTTTAGGGATCAAAAAAAAAAAAAAAGTTAAAACTTATGCTGATTTTGGGCACTTGACCCCATCTGTGAGGTAGGCAATGGAGACTAATTAATTTGGTTGCTAAAGGTTGTCAAATCCGCGCTGAACTCAATTGATCCCTCCTCCTTTCGATCCCTCCTTCAGTTGTCAAATACGTGCATTCTTAATCTGGATTCGTTCATTTACTATAATCGATCTCAGCCAGGGCTCAATCGACCTCAGCTATTTGTCTAGGACTCAATTGATCTTCAGCTTCGATCGATCTTTGTGCTCAAAATAGTTAGGACTCAATCAATCTTCAGCTTCGATCGATCTTAGCTAGGACTCAATCGATCTTCAGCTTCAATCCGAATCGATCTGTGTGCCGCCTCATATCAGAATTGATCTTTAGCTTTCATTTTTCAGAATCGATTGATCATATCTGAATTCATCTTTCAGAATTGATCTTCAGCTTTCATCTTTCAGAATCAAGCTTTAGCTCCAACGTAGACCTGAGTTCTTTGGCTTCAATCTGAAGGTAAATCGATTTGATTTTTTTGCAGTTTGAGTAAATCGATTTGGTTTCTAACCAAGATCGTAGTAATTTTGATTCAATAGCGATTTGGTATGTTTTCAATCTCTTTCTCTCTTTGCATAGCACAGCATGTATACATGTACATATCTATATATATACTCCTCTGTATTCATTCAAATTGCTTGAATTCAAAATTCTCTACCACTATTGCTTGAGTTTTTCTTGGTAGTTATTCGTGGGATTAGGATAGGGATATATGTTGCTTTGAAATTTGAATCTCATAAGATTACAGATAGTATATTGAGTTGTTCAGGTTTATTTTGAATGTAGATCTTACTATAATTGAATTTAATATCAGTCATTTAATAAATTTTTTTGTAAATCATTTTATGATTGATTCTTTATTCTTAACATTGTTGTTATTTTTTAGGGCTTTATTATTCAAATCTAAAAATTAGAACCAATTTTTGTAAAGTTAGATATATAAAATTAGATTAAGGATCATCTCTTGTCAAATTTTTGTCACAGCTGAATTTGTTCATAGCAGTGACGGATTTTCTTGCAGGAAATAAGCTCTCTGGCATATTTGCGGCAACTATTTCTTGCTGGAAATAAGCTCTCTGACAAAGTCATGTGTTTTTGCTTCTTTAGCACTAGTATATTTTATGATATGGTAATGCATTCCATGGGAAACACTGAGTATTGAAGGCTTTGTTTAGTTAAGTCCACCACTGCTCCTTCTAACCTATGTTTGCTATGTTTGAGCATGGATCTTAAAGTTACTAACACAATACGCCGGAAAAAGTGACTTATTATATTTTCTCATAGTATTTGAACCATTTGTTTTGTGTTTTCTTAAAATTGCTTTCTTGGGAGAAAATGGAAGTGGGATCTGTTGAGGGTAGTTTCCTGTTTAATTATCACATGCCACACACTACAAGACTCTGTTTGGTCTGTGGTGCATGTCTGATGTGGATCACCAATGATTTCTAGTAAGACCAATGTGACAATGATTGCTCATATTGGTATATGTAAATTTTCTTTCTATTATTCTCCTAAAGTGAGGGTTTAGTTTAGTAGAAGCGGTTGATCACACCACTAATGATTTTATTGGCTTTCAAGTTTTAGAAAGCAGAAAATAATTAACAAAAATGCTGTCATAGCGGATAAAGAAAGCCATCACTGACAACCTAAAGAAACTCGCCAACTTGATTGACCTTGTAAATCTTCCTTCAATGCTTTGAGAATTTGTGGGTTAATCTCAGATCTCGTTTGGGCTGTTTCATGCGTGTCTGGTCATACATCAAGGCCAACAATCTCCAGGTCCTCCATCTCTCCCTTATGTTTATATATTCAATTATGTAGTTGAAAGTTTTAGAAAGTACATATATTTTTTCTTAAGTAACTATAACTTGTATGATTGATTAATTTTTTGTAAATCATTTTATGATTGATTCTTTATTCTTAACATTGTTGTTATTTTTTAGGGCTTTATTATTCAAATCTAAAAATTAGAACCAATTTTTGTAAAGTTAGATATATAAAATTAGATTAAGGATCATCTCTTGTCAAATTTTTGTCACAGCTGAATTTGTTCATAGCAGTGACGGATTTTCTTGCAGGAAATAAGCTCTCTGGCATATTTGCGGCAACTATTTCTTGCTGGAAATAAGCTCTCTGACAAAGTCATGTGTTTTTGCTTCTTTAGCACTAGTATATTTTATGATATGGTAATGCATTCCATGGGAAACACTGAGTATTGAAGGCTTTGTTTAGTTAAGTCCACCACTGCTCCTTCTAACCTATGTTTGCTATGTTTGAGCATGGATCTTAAAGTTACTAACACAATACGCCGGAAAAAGTGACTTATTATATTTTCTCATAGTATTTGAACCATTTGTTTTGTGTTTTCTTAAAATTGCTTTCTTGGGAGAAAATGGAAGTGGGATCTGTTGAGGGTAGTTTCCTGTTTAATTATCACATGCCACACACTACAAGACTCTGTTTGGTCTGTGGTGCATGTCTGATGTGGATCACCAATGATTTCTAGTAAGACCAATGTGACAATGATTGCTCATATTGGTATATGTAAATTTTCTTTCTATTATTCTCCTAAAGTGAGGGTTTAGTTTAGTAGAAGCGGTTGATCACACCACTAATGATTTTATTGGCTTTCAAGTTTTAGAAAGCAGAAAATAATTAACAAAAATGCTGTCATAGCGGATAAAGAAAGCCATCACTGACAACCTAAAGAAACTCGCCAACTTGATTGACCTTGTAAATCTTCCTTCAATGCTTTGAGAATTTGTGGGTTAATCTCAGATCTCGTTTGGGCTGTTTCATACGTGTCTGGTCATACATCAAGGCCATCAATTTCCAGGTCCTCCATCTCTCCCTTATGTTTATATATTCAATTATGTAGTTGAAAGTTTTAGAAAGTACATATATTTTTTCTTAAGTAACTATAACTTGTATGATTGATTAACAATCCATGATGCACATACTACTGATTGTGTCTTTATCTTACATGGATCCTAATGCATTAGGTTTTGTGGTTTCATTTGGGAAATGTGAGAATAATTTTTTAATGATTTAACAAATGTAATGATCTCTCATTTCCATATATTCCATCATTTTTCTCATTACTACATTAGTTACTCACTTCAAAAAATTGTGTCACTTTACTTGTGTGTGGTAAAAGAAAGTTTCCTTTGACTTATCAAAAATAAAAAATAAATTTCCCTAGATGTGTACTTTACATTTTCAGGAATTTGATAGTGGAAAATTTTTAGGCTATGACAGGTTCATTTTCTCATACTTTAAACATTTGTCTAATTTTCTGCATTATTTTGGAAGGTCCATGTTGTGTTTATTGGTACAATAAATTTACAATGCTTATTGTTAAAAGAATTACAGATAACAATAAATTCACAATGCTTATTGATGGTTTTTTTTCTTTCTTCTTCTAGGTTGTTAAAACCTTCATCCCTAATTTTAGTTGTGACAATCATTACTGAGTCCTTTTTTTTTTAGGTACCCAACAACAGAAATCTTGCAGCCTCTGTTGCCCTGTGATTTCAAGAAGTAACTGTGAAATTATGTATTAGCATTGCCTTTACATTTTGATCCTGAAGTGATAATATATGGGGTTTCTTTTGCACATTTGGACAAGTCTGGATGGATGCATTAATCTCTCTCTCTCTTTTTTTTTTTTATATCCTGACTGAGTTTTTTCTTTCTTGCTTAGGATCCAAATAACAAGAACGTGGTCAATTGTGATGAAAAGTTGAGGAGTATTTTGTGTTGGGTAAACCTCAAGTTGAGCTTGCTGAACTTCCTACACTGATCAAGCTGCATTTCCCAAAATAGGCAAAATGATTTTAACTATTTGTGCTAATTGGCACCCTATGTATCTTTTCCTCTCTATAAAAGAGAGTGCACATTTCCTTGTAATATACACAATAACATACATCAATCAATAACATCAATCATAATACATACAATTCTCTCTCTATATCAATTTATCTTACATTTTGATTTCCATTATATCATTTTTTAGCCAGTTTCTTATTTGAGTTTTTTATTTGGACTTACTGCTTTTTCCTTACAATATCTCAACTCTACGCCCATATACCATGGCTGATAAGTACTTAAACATCCTTGAGTTGACCTTATTCTTGGCTGATTTTGTGGAATTACCTTCATAACATCTCAACTGCCAATTGTTACAAATGCACACATATCTCTCTACAACAGTAGGAACTGAACCCAGGTACACCTGTTGTGCTCTCATATTATTCTTGTTTCAGGCCTCCTTAACTACAATGCTGGGATGGCACTGCACATCTGAAGTTTGAAGATACAGAGGTTGGTTTTCTGAACTGCAACTGTATTGCATAATTGTGAGAACTACACAATTTTGGGAACAAAATCTTAATTTATGAATCTAGATAGACTAATTAATTCATATGAATACTGAGAGCAGCACTGATGATTACATATGTTACAATATACATAAGGAAATTATAGGAATACACCTAGGGAATTCTTAATGGTGTAATCAGCGGCAATACCATTTGTCTTCTTTGTAGGATGGAAGGAATCCCATAATACATATTTATTGGCATCTGTACAAGTGAAAGGGTTGAATTTGTCACATATGTAACCCATCTGAAGCAAGCCAGTTGCACAACATACTATTGTTGCTTTGTCAAATCCTGTCACAAGGAATACTAACATATTAATTTCAGCACAGAAAAGCCGGATGTGAGTAATAATTTTGAATTTGTATGGAACACAAATGAATAATGACAATTAAGGATTAATTCCTTCCTAATATAAGCCAAGGTATTTGAATTATGTATCCTGAAAATAATATATGCTCAAAAGAATTGATTATCATTATGCAGGTTGTTGAGTTTGCCCTGGCTTTGCAGGAAGCTCGATGCTTTTCTGTTGTTCTGGAATGTGTGCTTGCACCTGTTGTTGCTTCTACAACATCTACTCTTCGAATCCCTACAATTGGTATTGGGACAAGACCTTTCTATATTGGCCAAGTTAATTGATTCTTTAGCTCTCTCTACTACTCCTAATAATGAATTAGACTTGGCTGGCTTGTGTTGTGTGTAATATTTTTGCTTTCATTTGTACATATAATTGCATATGATTAGGCATTTTGGCTCAACTCATATTCACTAGCTACATGTAGCTAGCCTTCAACGCTAGGCAAAATGTATTCAATCATTAGGATCAATTCCCTCCATCTTTGTTGTTAACGTGGCATTCTATAAAATTAATAGTATTTGAATAAATAGTTAAAATAAAGAGCATGGTTGGAGTAAAAACATAAAACAATTGATAGGCAAAATAAAATATATACTTTATAGTAATATTTAGATAGGTAAAATACCTACTACCGTTGGAGATGCTCTAAGGGGAATTGAACTCCCACCCTCATCTTGCAAGAACTTGTAAGTCTTGCCCTATTTCACTCCTAAGAATGGAACTAAAGCCCACCTCATAGGAGAGACTTGATGGCCAAATGATATTCCCTTGGTTAAACCGGATATGGTACCATATTGTCTCATTTTGTTTGCTGATATTCGTCAACGATCATTAATGCAAGTATGCAATCTTTTAACAAACTAGTATGTTATGGCAATAATTTATTGCTATTGGGTTATGATCCCTACATTATAATATGCTTAGCAATAATGATTATTATATCATTATTGATTACAAGCATCACAAGATTTTCAGTTGTTAGTGGAGATCATGATGTAGACCTTAAATGGCATAAATTTATGCATTTGGATATACCATGTTGAGAACGAACAGTTATCGTAGTTAGAATAAACATATTAGAATATGGCAGTAGGAACGTGATTGCGATTGTTGGCCATATATGTTTTTTGGTGGCCACTGTAAATTTGGTTTAGACTTTGAATTATGCAATTTTAAGTGCCTATTTTTGTGCATGTATATATATAAATAGGCAGAGCATCTACAACAGATGCCTTACATTTGTTTTTTAACTAAATTAAGGAGTTAATTATTCAAAATCATCTCCAACGGATTTTCTACTCCAGCTCCCGGGTTGCTACATTTCATTTCATTAGGGGAAAAAGTAAATAAATATAAGGCACAATACATTGGAAGCACAATTGAAGAATGCAAAATGAACAAAATTAAGTTGAAAAACTAAAATACAAACAAACAAAATATGAAAGTATTTTACATAGAAGTAAGACAACATACATCTAACCATTCTTATATCTACAGGGACAGAAATCTCATGCATAGAGAATATCCTTTCACAATGAACCAAAATCAACAAATTTTTTCTTCAAATTATAACCTTAACAAGTCATAGCACCGTCTCCAACTTATTCATTATTTCCAGATCGAACTGCTTAATATAACATTAGATACTTTCATCCCAAAGCTCCTCAACAGATTTATATGGGGCCTTGGTCGGATATGAACTCAATTCCAAGACACCCTTTTTTCCGTGGAATTTGATCAATCTTTTTAAGACTCTTTGGGGCTTAGCATCCAATCAAATATGTCAAGATTTTCTTTGATCCGCTCTTTGTTAAAGCTCTTCACAAGTATGCTCACTCCTTGCTCATAAACCCACCTCAAGCAAACCTTTCCATGTAGCAACGTTAAGATAATGTAAAGATTATACTCTAAATAGAATACACTTGACAAAAGAAATAGGTATATATTGTTTTAATTTTGGATTTTATAACTTTTATATATATATATATATATTTGTTTAAATAAACTCGAATTAAAGATGCTGATCTTAGTAAAATGGGTACCTACTATCTAATGGTTTACCATTAGCACAATGATTATGAATTAACCTTTAGATAGGCTATTATGGGTAATACTTGTAAAATTCAATATTACTTGTGCCATGTGGAGTCATAATTGGAAGCGATTTAGGTTAGTAGTCAACGCCCAATGACCTCTAGATATTGGTTATATGGTTGTTAAATCCTATCAGCCTCACACATAGGAAGATTGGGTGTGGTACCATGCCATCTCATTTTGTTTGCAAATATTTGTCAATGGTCATAAACACGAGTAGGCAATTATTTATTAAATTATCATGTTGTTTCAATAATTTATTTTTATTGAGTAGATACGATTCCTACATTATTATGTAAATTTCCTACCTGTGGAATCAGAGCCCAAGATTAAATTTTCTTACTGACAGTGATCATTCTTATTATTGATTATGAGTATCATAAGATTTTTAGTTGTTTGTTGAGATTATGATGTAGGTTTTAATTGGCATGACCTTTACCTATTCGGATATACAATATTAAGGTTTGTGATACCTAGTAGAATTGTGATTATTATGATATGGTAATAGGAACAGAGTTGTGATTATGGCTATATATGTTTTCTGTTGGCCACTGTAACTTTGCTCTAGACTTTGAATTATGCAATTTTTAAGTGCTTATTTTTTTGATGTATAAATAGGCAGCACAGTATGGCAATTCAAGCAAAACTTGGTCGAGGTAGGCATAGTCGATCAGCTAAGCAATACAGGATAAGGGTGTACATGGAGGGATTTACAGTGAATCTCATAACTATAATCATTTACCTTTATTTTAGGAAAATGGCTCTAGAGAACCTGCATAGATGGAAGGAGCCACATAGCACTCTCTGATCAAGCAAAGTGTTACAGGATTGCTCCACCAATCATATGGAGGGATCTTCAATATGATATGAATTACACACGTATATATATATAACTTTGATTTGAATAAAATGTTACCTGAGCAACAGTCTTCCCTTTAGCCTCAGCAATCTCTTAAGTATCTCACAATCCATGACTAGGTTGGTTCCCCACCGTGTTCCTTTCGCACCTAAGGGTGAGTATGCTTTAACATGAATACCCTTTTTCTCACAGAATTCCCTTAACTTCTTTTGCTGCCAAACTGGGTTCATCTCCACCTTCATTATTCAACCCACACATGCAATGCAATACAATACATAACATACTAAGTTTTTTGAGAAATGCCTTTACCCCAAAATATACCATTAATTTGAAATGAAAGTACAAATAAATAAATAAAATCAACCTAAGAATTTTAGGCCCCAAAAAAATAGATACTAACAAGTCAAAGAATCATTTC